AGCCAACACAGACACACACAGACACAAAGTGTCTGTGCAACACAGACACTTTGTGTCTCTGTGTGTCTGTGTTGGCTTTGGTGCACACTTGGGGTACCCCATGTTGGTGTACCCCTAGCTTAATTCTTTTTATAAGGGCAATGCTAGAGGTACACCAACATGGGGTACCCCAAGTGTACACTAAGCCAACACAGACACACACAGATATAAAGTATCTGTGTGGCTTTACTATATAATCAAATATGAGGGGCCAACACCACACATTTTCCGCACTATAAGAGCCTGTACATTGGGTGGAGGATTGAGTCATTTTGTAAATACTTTAACCGAGTCATTTTGTAAAAAGCTTTCATTCTATATTTAATACTCTCACGTCCCACAAAACTCTTCCGGTTTTGACTTTGGAGAAAAATAAGGAAAGAGTAATTTTGGTTGACTTCCCAATTTTGCCCCTGATGTGATTGAAAAAAGTAAGATGTGATAGTTTGGTTATTAGTGATAAAGTATGATGTGATAGGTAGGGTATGAAAAAGTGGTTTTTTAATAGAAAATGGAAATGTTTTGTGGAAAAAAAAATGAAAGAGGAAGGGTTTTGTGGAACGAAGGGAGTAAAAGTTATATAATAGTTATCCAAATCGTAAATGCTCGAAGTCATTATATCATCCACTCTCTCATCATAATGTACACACACAGCAAGTCAGATTACTAAGAGGATAATTAGCAGTGCGCTGATTTTAAGAATTTGGTTTCTGATTTGAGTTATAGTGGTTTGACACTGTTTGTCATGTTATCTTTTTGCTTTTCTCCTACACTATTTTGTACACAAAACACCGTTTCAGAGAAGGAATTATGAGATGATTTCGCTTTTAACTTTTGTAAAATAGGAGATCCATATGTTTATTTCTGAAATAGGTGTTAAAATGCATTTACATTACCAATCATGACATGTACATTACGTAAAATATACATGTATTGTTTTACATTACCACAGTGTGAACTCTTGTTTAGAGAATAAAAACATGGAACTCCTATTTTTGTAGCTTCTCTATTTTTAAATCCTATTTAGGCTGTGTCCATATGCCTGATCTAATTTTTTGAAGTTTTAATCTGATTTGATCTAATTAGATCTAATCTGATCTGATCTGATTGGTTCTGATCTAATTTAATTCAATCTGACCTATTCTGATTGAATTTGATCTGATATGGTTAGAATTGATTTATCTAATTAGATCTGGTGTAAATGAATTGATGTTTGATTTAAATTAAGCTTAAAATTATTACAAAATTTAATAGTTTTAAAGTATTGCAATTCATATATATATACATAAAAAAGTAAAATAAGAAAATCAGCTCATTATTAATATATTTTAACTTTTCTTTTAAAATATTAAATATCATTTCAATATCACTAGTTTTTAAATCTTTGTGAAAATTAAATAATCGGTATTAAAATAACCAAATATTAAAAAAATTTGATGTTATTCTACAAAAATATCACATTCTAAATGCAATTGCATAATATATAATATATTCCATGTTACAAATTAAACATCATATAAAATCTTAAACACTAATATTCCTTTCACCTATATGAATTTTGTCATAAACTCACCCTTGTGTATATTATACCATCTTAAAGTTTAAAACTAAGTCTTTTTAAGTATAAAATATGTATGGTTTTGAAAACTAAGTTTTGTATAATTATTTTATAAATAAGTATTTTAAAATAATCCTTTTTAATGTATGAAAAATACAAATTTTAAGCTTTAATAATAATAATAATAACAACAACAACAACAACAAGAATAATAATAATAATAATAATAACAATAATAATAATAACAATAATAATAATAACAATAACAATAACAATAGTAATAATGATAGTAATAATGATAATAATAATAATAGTAACAATGATGATGATGATGATGATGATAATAATAATAATAATACTCCCTCCTTCCCACAAAAGATTACCCGTTTTGAATAGTATTTGGTAAAACAGTTACACGCTTTGACTACAAATAGTGAGAAAAGTATATTGAATTATAATATAAATTTAATATAATTGGATTCATCTTAGGATATAATTTTGATATATCAAATTTTTATAACATTTCTTTATTTAGATTACATTTAATTTATGGTTAAAGAGTGTAACTGTTTGACCAAAAAAATCAAAATAGGTAATGTTCTGTCGGACGGAGGGAGTAATAATAGAGATAATAATAATAATAATAATAATAATAATAATAATAATAATAATAATAATATACTTCATCCGTCCTATAATGTTCTTCCCGTTTGTGTTTACGAGGTTTGACAAACTTTATATTCAATTCAATTTATTTAATTGTAGGTGTAAAATTAAAAAATAAAATTTATATATTTAAAAACTACATCAAATGTTCTACAAAACAAGTGGTGACAAGACTATATTATTTTATCAAATACCTAATGAAAATAGGTAAAGAAAGTGATTAAAGTTTGGCCGTGTGAAAAGTAACTGGGAAGAACATTTTAGGACGGAGGGAGTAACAATAACAATAATACTTTAAATTATAATATTAATTAAGATTTAGGTGTGTGTAACTTTAAATAAAGTAATGTGATTTAATCACATAATAGTAATTATTATTTAGTCCTTGAAAAATATAAATATTTTTTATATATTTTTTCTTGATTTGATATTATTTGATTTGGTCTGCTCTGATATGATTGGAAATGGCCTGATCTGATTGAATTTAATCTGATTTTATTAGATATGATCTGATTTAATTTTAAGAAGAGTAAGTAATAAATAGAAAAAAATAAGTCTTACAAAACGGATCATTGGAGTGATTTCTTTATCTTTTAGTCATCTATCAAACAAAATTTTCACCTATAATCCCTCCATCCAAACGGAGGGTAAATGCTTTAGGGAGTACAATAATTGCTACGAGTACATAGCAACATTATTTTCTCTTAGCAGAGAGATTTTGGAAAGGACCGATCCTAACCCAATTTTGTCGCTGTATTTGACATTGTTTTTACATATCGTGAAAAAAATTAAATATTGTTCAAACAACTAGAAAAATATAAGGGAGTAGTAGAAATTAAGAAGAAACGAAAATGAGTTGAAATAAATATTCAAACACACTTTTTTATTTTAATTCCTTTTGAATTTTTTCTTAAAATATTTAAAATGACTTTCAACCTCTATCATTTCTTTTTCTTTTTAAAATCATTTCTTTAGGAAACAACAATAGACATAAAAATAACAAAAATAAGAAACAAGCCTAAAACCATAAAAAATACCCTCTCTCCTTCCCAAATTGTAACCCACATTTGGAATAACGTGTACAATATCATCTTTTTCAAAATTATTTTATTTATAAATTGGTAGAGAAATAAAAAGTGAAAATTACACCGTTCAAAAATGGACCAAAAGTTCTACAAAATAAAAAGCGACAAGAATATTTTATTTTATCAAATGGTCAACCAAAACGAGTAAACAAACTAAAGTTGTCGAGAGGCCGAAATAGTAACTATTGCTTATATTTTGGGACGGATGGAGTAATTAAGTGAAAACATAATCAATAAAAACTAACCTCAAATTTGTAGGAAATAAAAAAATCAAGTGGACGGTTCTAATGTTTTAGGTATTATACGAACTATTAGTGTATTGCTTGATTTACTCCCTTCTGTTAAAATATGAAAACAAAAAATAGTATTCCCTCCATCTCTCATACCTCTCCGTTCCACAAAACCCTTCACCTTTCTTTTTTCATTCGTCCCAAGAATACTTCTCTTTTTTCTTATTAAAAAGTCACTTTTATTACCCCTATTAATTCTTAACCTACCTATCACATCACACTTTTTCCTATTAATCTACCCATCACATCCTACTTTATCCATCACATCAAAGAGCATTTTTGGAAAGTCAACACCAAAATACACTCCCCTAAAATCCTTTAAAAGTCAAAATGAGAAATTTTTTAAGGGACAGAGGGAGTATATCTTATTATTAGT